ATGAGGGACTCGAGGCGACCCTGAGATATCTCAGCCTGGTAGGGAGTGTACTGAGTGTACCACGCAGGGTTCTCCATGATGTTCCGCAAGATCACGGGTGGCACGTGCGTGTTGTAGTACCCCATCCCGATGTATGACTTGAAGCATTTGTTCTTTGATTCTAAGCTCTTCATGTGCAACATCATTTCGGCCTCCGTCAGTCCCTCGTTGAAGATGTTGAACGACATGTCTTTCAGACGGATGGATTTGGGAATGGTGGCGTCGATCAGGGAGTTGAGATTATCGAAGCCGCATGTCTTGGCCATGTTGATTAGTTCATCTGAAGTGGCAGAGTTGTGGCGCCGAGGGAACGTATCGCTGGGCTTGAGTGCCTCCACTGAAATGGATCGAGATGTTACATTGCATGAAAGGTGTCTATTGTTTCCGATCAAATTCTCCGATTTGACTCTTGCAAAGGAATGAGAAACATAAGACACACGTCGTGAATGGGAATGAGCCTTCGTGGATGAAAGCAGCCTCTTCAGAATTGTCCTATTTGCTAGTCTCCGTGCACGTTCCATTCGGAAAAATAACAACAAATGAAGATTGGGGTGATTTTGTTTTGTTTTACAGTTCTAGGGGTGCATTGGAGAGAGTCTAATGGAGGTATATAATTAATGTTTGAGAGACAGAAAAAGAGGATTGTCGGTTTTGAAAAAGGTGTGAGATGTCACAGTGTCACTGTGTTGGAAAAACACCACCTAGGTTGCATCGAAACATGTTTTCCTTTGCATTCAAAGATTGAATTTCGAATTGGAAGTGAAGATTAGGATGAGTGATTTGGTTACGTGGATGAGGCCTGAGACAAGACGAAGGCTACAAGAAGACAATGAGAAGCATGGGAATTGGATTGGGAGATCTTGATTCTTGGTTCAAAAACAACAGTTACAGTTTGCTGGATGATGCATTATGTGAAACCCTTACCGCTAAAATGGACTATATAAAGAATTTTGATCATCTCCACCAACTATGATGACCTTCGGATTAATCTCATGGTGGAGTGATAAAAACTAAAGAAATATTGTTTTGTAAAAGGAGCATTCATTATTTTCTTTTTCTTTTTTTCTTGTCACATTTTTCCTTTAGTCACTCTCCACTTTTGTTTTTGTTCAAACCTCATGGCTTTTTTTAGTAAATATAATTTAATGGTTCAAAATATCATTGAATCATAAAAGAAATCATTAACTTATATGATTTGTTTTTCTTAATTTATTTTATTTTCTTATTTTTTTTATTAATGAAGTGAACATGACCTATAAGGATTAGATCAAATGAAATAAATGAAACTTTTCAACAAGTATTGTTGGTTGATCAAATTATGTTTTGAACTAATCAATTAATGAACTTTAGTTTAGTTTTATTACAAGTTAATAAGTCTTTTGGAAGATCAAGAGGGTGCATAGGCTGATTGACTTTTGGATGCCACAATTTCAGTTATAATCAATCATTAAGTAGTTTTCAATTCCTAAGTTAATAAATCATTATTAGCATTTATTTCCCTTTAATGAATATTTGTAACTCGATGACAAAGTTTCTTTATAAGTTCGAACAATTTTTATAAAAAATAGCAAGTTGAGTTTTATTTTTAGAAATATTAGAGTTTATCTCTTTTATCTTAGTGAGAGTAATTCTCCTAAGTTCTTGAGTGATTCAAGAATATTTGGTTGTATCAAAGGACTTTTACATCATTTGTGTGTTGCCTTTCTTGGAAAGAGTGATTCTTTCCTTTCACCTTATCACTAAATTCCTAAATTTCCTACAAGGTTCTAACCTTAAAGATCATAAAGCATCCCCTTGTAATTCATATCAATTAACCAAACAAATATTATTAGAAATATTATTTTCTTATTTTCTATTTAATTTTTTATTTATATTTTAAAATAAAAAATATATTAAATTATTATTTTAATTTATATAATAATGATTGAGATATTATTAATATTTTATATTTTATTATATTTTTATTTAATATATATATCATAAAAAATATATAAAATATTCATACAAAATATATTTATATATAAAACATAAATATACACAAATTTTAAAGATTTTGATCAAATGTGTACTCACCGAAAATCTCAAATATCTGGGTGCTTGTCAACTAAAGTTATGAAATCTTTTTTTCTCTAAAACTATATTATAAAATTTATCAATCTTCATATGTTAAAATAAAAAATATACCACTTATTGAGAAGTTTAAAAATATCATAGTTAAATATTGATTTCAGATTTTTCTTGTCAACATGAATAGTTACTCAACATAAAATAAATTTATCAAATGAAACATTAATTAATGATACGAAATAATGAATATGATATATTTATAAAGAAAAATTACTCAAATTAATTTTCTATCAGTTAATTTACGAAATAGATTTGTTTACTGTTTATTATAATTGTTTTTTCTCATTTATTCTTTATTTTTTTTATTTGCTATGTAGGTATCTTTTTATCTTTTTCTTCTCTCATTTATTCTACTAATTATTATTATTATATTAAAATTTAATAAAAATATGTTAAAATAAATATTTTTAAAATTAATAATAAAATTAAAACAATATTAACTAATTATCTAAAATTATGATTACAATAAATAATTTTTTTTTCAATAAATAAATTTATTTATACTTAATAATATTATTATAATTAGATTGAGTTATGATAATTAATTAAATTAAATAATTTTAAAAAAATATTTCAACATAAATATTTTTTTTAATAATTATAACACAACGATCATATTTATAACGTCTCACGTTTATCTTATAATATTTTCTTAAAAAATATATAAAAGAAAAAAAGAAATTAAAAATAATCACTAAATAAAAAAAAGAAAAGAATAAGGAAAAAGTTAAAAAAGACTATATAGTTTAACATTATTAAATATTTTTTATCTAAAAAAAAATTAGTAATAAATTTAGTTCTGCCAAGTTTTCTTTTTCTTTATATCATTATTATTTTTTTATTACTCATCTTATAGAATTATTTTTAATATCTTATCCTTGTTTAAAAAAAAATCAAATTTATTCGATGGATAATTTTCTTTTTATTCGATTTCTAATCTCTAAATTCTTTTTTTATTTTAAGTTCTAAAAACATCTATTATTTTTTTCTTTCTATCTCGTAAAATGTTATACAAGTCTACATGAATTGAAAGGCAGATGTCGGTGAGGTGTATGTGTAGATAAACCAAATACTCATTAAATTAAAGGATTTAAATTTTTTTATTATCAGGTGCACACCTCTCTGCAGGACCTGTGAATACTCCGCCAGTAAAAAAAAGATGGATCCAGACAATGAAAACGAATTGAAAGATCAAAACGTTGGGAGAAGAAAAGAAAAAAAAAAAGTATATTCTATAACATAAATTTATTCACTTATTAAATTTTGTGTATAAATAAATAAATTTAGAGAAATTATATTTAGATAATTTTTCTTTTTAATTATATTATTTATGAGATTGATTATTTTAAATTATATTACATATTTATGTTATATCTAATTAATTCAATTTTATTTAATTTTAAATTGTACTGTAAATTAGACAGATAAATAGTAATATTATGATATATTTTAAACTATGCTATAATTCCTTTAAAAATATAAACATTATTTTAACACTAATATTAGTCTGTGTGATCCTTTACATAAAATAATCTTTTTTTTCAATTATGAAAAACACGGATTCGTTTTCAAATCTATTACTTCATAATTTTATTTATATATTTAATTTATTACGAATTTATTTTTATGCAAGTGGATACACGAATTAATTTATTAACCGTGTAAGTGATTCTCATGTGTGAATAAATATTAGAATTACTTAAATTATTTAAATCTATAAGTATTTAAAATGAAATTTAACTTTTTGATATCATTAATTAAAGTTAACTAATACATCTATTTTTGTTAATATGGACCGAGGAGGTTATACAATATTCAAAAATTGTAAAGAAATATAAATAGAAAAAATCTTAAATGAAATTAATTTTACTCATAACTATATATGGAGAGAGCACAAAAAGTAAAATTAGAAATATTAATAATATTGTAAATCTTAAAATCTAATTCAAACCAAGAACTGATACTATTATTTTGTGTTATATTTTATGTTAGGCATTCTCTTCTAGTCTGAATGGTGAAAATGATGCCACTACATTTTTTTAATGGATGAAGTTACTAAACTATAACTTTGCTTTGTGTTTTAAAACATGTTTCTGAACTACAAATTTATGTTATCAAGCGAAATTATTGGAAGAACATGTAAATTTCAAAATGTATAAAATATTTGATTGATTATTTATTTACTCTCTATTTTTAAATATGTTAAAACCTTGTATAATAAATATCATTAATACGAATAACTTTAAAATTATAATGTTAAATTTGATTAAATCAAATTACTAATTAAAATTAAAATATCAATAAACAACTATGCAGCTTCGTTTTCCACAAAATGAGAAAGAAAGGCGCGGGAACTTTGAAGCAAAATAGAAAATAAAGAGTTGTAATAATAAAAATAAGTGATTTAATATAATTATTAGATAAAATGATATTTATAAAAAAAGTTATAAAAAAATATTTTTAATTTTTAATTTTTCAGTTTTTAAAAAATAAAAACAAAAACTGTTTTTAAAAAGCTGTTTTAACAAAATAATTATTAAATAATTTTTAAAAAATTAAAAAGCGAAAAATCATTTTTAATAACAGTAAACAAACAAGTTTTACTCTTCAAAAGAAAAGTATTTATAAGATTCAGGACAAATATAAAAACAATTGAGACCAAAATTATATATGGCCTAAGAGGGAATTGTTTAAAGGGTTGTATAAAAATATCACCACTCTTCTTATATACATGTAAAATTTCTTAATCATAAGAGTGCAATGGGACATTGGCTAACATTTGTGAATATTTATTAAATCAGTGGAAACTGAAGGCATGGAAGAAGTATTTGTACTCAAAAGTCAAGAAAGCCACTGGATAAATCCATAAGAAGCAACGCTGCCTGAGTTACTTCATCCATTGGAGATACTTCATTCAAATCAATCTTCACTTTCTGCTCCTCAGAAAATGTTCCTCTAGCAGCAGCAGCAGCAACAGCTCTAGTTGCAGCCTTGGACTTATTCTTGAACCGTGAAAAATGGTTGCTACGACACTTCTTTTCCTTGTGATGATGCATTCTGGTCTTTGCATCCAAGCAACTGGAAGGAGCAAAACCACTCGCAGCTTCTGCCATTGCCCTTCTTGCCTTCCTCTGCCGAATGCCACAGGCATTGCAAAGTGACTGCACCAACAAGATATAACTAGCTATTAAATTTGTTAATTAATTTGTACAAAACTACGAAGTATCCAATGTAAAAGAAGGAAAGAAAAATCACCTTAGGACCATTAGGACCACTCCTCCAGAGTGGGGTACTGGTTGTGTTACAATCCGCACAAACCCTAATAATATTCAATGTTTTGTTCGTGGCTAGATCACTGCTAGTGCAAGGAGGGCTCATCATTTTTCTCGTCAACCTCACGTTTGAAGCCAAACATTTGTCATTACCTCTTCTGTTGTGTTGGTCCTCTATTTTGTAGAAGGATAAATCATGGTGACCACCCGCGTTGCTGGTTCGATCTGCCATAACGGACTTCGGTTGAACGGACGATGCACTGCACACTTGCTGATTCTCTGATGATCCACCATGAAATACAAACCTCACATCCTATAATTAAAGTGAAGAGATCAAAGACTATATTAATCATATAGAATCAAAACGTAAACTTCCTACATTATTCTTTCTCGACAATAATTTGTAGGACTGAACTCAACTAAAGAATAAGATCTTGCCTCTGGATCGCCATGTTTTAAATCTCTGATATCTTTGGTTTGGCTTTGATCAAGTATGTCAAAGAAGGAGCAGCATGAGAGAGGTGATTGGTGATTATTTGGAGAAATGAAGAGTTGACTTTGATCTTGTATAGTAGGACCTGGGAGGTTCAGAGAAGCAGGAGTCATGGAAGTAGGGAAGGAGAGAGAGAGAAAGGTTGTACGTGTGTTGTAGGCCAAAAATAGACAGTAGACAGAGGTAAAAAGATTTTGGAATAGGAAGTAGGGTTCTTATAGAACGAAGCAACATGTATTTGTTGGTATGAATTTTTTTCTTCTTTAAAATATTTAATATAATTAAATATTTTAAAAAATATTAGTTTAGTTAATTAAAATACCTCTACGTTAGCACATTCAATAAATAGTCCAACCGTTTAATTAGTTAATGCGACACAAGAATCAATAATATACACTATTTTTGGAGTGAAAAATTAAAAGAAAGAAATTAAGGGAAGATAAAATAAATGAAAGAAAATGATAAATGTATAATGAGAAATAAATGTATAATGATAATGAATATGAAAACAACTATTAAGACGAGACAAGGAATAGAGCTGTAGAATGCAACTACTCCAACTGACAGAAATCCTATTTGGGATATTTTTCAGCCCTCACATATATATTTAATAGAATTATACTCTTCATTAATTATATTTTATAATAATTTTGTTCTATTCTTTATAATATTTACAATTTCTATATTTAGTATCCTATATTTTTTGTGTCGTATGGCTAATTAAGTAATTCTGGTTAACGATGCTCAAATATTAGTTAGTAAGATAAATAAATCAGTTATTGAAATAATTAGTTGTTCAATTAGTAAGATTTTGTAGGTGAAGTTTGTTTTATAAATATTGTTGCTTATATAGTGTATATAATGTGCATATAGTAGTGTTAAACAAAACCGTTCTGGTTTTTATTTGAGTATAAAAATATTAGACCTGTAAAAAACATGTTTTTGATTTTATAATACACTTTTTTTAGTCATTTTGAAATGATTATTGTAATTTGATTATGTTATTTTGTTTTAATATTTATTATATTTTTGTCCATTTTAAGTTAGACTCTTTAAAAAAATGATAAAAAGTTAATAAAAAAATTCCTCAAAATATGACGAAATTTTACGCAGATAATTTATCAATTTTTAATAAAATTAAATACAGATTATCCACGAGTTATAAGAAAAAAACATATTACAAAAACAAAGATCAATACAATTTAAAAAAAAAAAACATTTTTAAAACATGGCACATTTTATAAGAACCATAACAAATGAAACTTACATGTATCCCAAATTTAAATCGATAAGCTTGGTGGCTCCTCCTCCTGTATCCAAACTCAAATGGAATGGTTTTGTTAAATTATAACCACTAAAGAGTAATGGTGTAGAATTTATGAATTTTGTTGAGTTTTGAATAATGGGGGTGAGTGTGATGAGAATTTTGCAGATCTGATAAGGTGGATACAGATAGTGTTGCCAAAAAGAAAATCAAATGCTGCCACAGCACCCACTCTCTGTGACAGAGACAGCATCTGAGTCCCCACAACCATATACACGCCTATCTCCATGCATGCCATTGTTTTTTCCATCACCACTATCCTTCTGAAAATTAAGCAAGTTAAGAAACAATACGCCCTGTTCATGAGTAACTTTTTCTCCGTCTTTATCATATTATCTGTTAATTAATATTATATCACCAGATAAATGTAGGCCTAATCTGCGGCATAACATTTAAGATGAAGATGGAAGCTAAGGGTGAGTGATAAGAATCACTCTCTGTGCCTTGAAACCAAAACAAAATTGGATGGAGAGACAGTTTGTCTGAAGGTAAGGGTGTGATAGTGCAAGTGGTGCACTCATAAATATAGAGGGGCCATGGACCACCGTGGTATTCGGCTAAATGACACCACAAACGGTGGCCGAGTTCATCTTTCCTCATCTACTTTTCTGACGGAAATCCATCTACTTGTCTTTAAGTACAACTGTTCTAAAAGGAAACAAGACACGGTCATGATTTTCTTAGGGCAAGTGGCATTCATTAAGTCACTGCATATATAGCTCTCACTTCAAAATTAATTTAAAAGATTCTTTTTTTTTTTTCCTTTTTTTTTAATCTAATATATATGGTTCCAATTTCCAATTATTTTGCATTTAAAAGATAACTTAGTTTACTATTATTTTAAATATAACCTTTACTTGTAATTCAAATGGTAAAAGTTCCATTTTTGTCTGGAGAAACTTCTCAATATGCTTGTAGTGTTTAGAAAGAAACACAAGAAGAAACATAATATTATTTTATTCTTTTTAAATATGTTTTAAATTCATGTAATTTTAACTTATGAATAAATTAATTTTATTTTTCATCTTAAAATGTCTATCGACAAATTCTTCCAAAAAAAGTCCACAATTATTTGAGATTTAACAGAAATATGATAGAAAAATAAACATTCATAAGATTTTAAAAAATTTGGAGAAAATGGACTAAAAATAAAATATCCTGTGGGCCAGTGATGGAGGACAAAAGGCACTGTTTCAAAATTCAAACCTTGAAAAAAAAAAAAAATTGTTCATACATTTTTATTCTTGTTAGACAATTACTATTTTTACTGTTTTCACATAATTTATTTAATTAACTATTTAAAAATATGTTTTTAATTAATACAACTTAAATTTGGTTTTATATTAATTAAATTCAAACTCAAAATAACATAATAATATGTCTACGTTGGTATGCCGTAATTAATGCAAATTAATGTTGAAACCTTACGTCCAAACAGCTCTCTGAAACACGGCAGCATCAACAGACATGAAAGAACGAACCTGGCTCTTTAAAATCAAAATGCTGCAACTCTGCTTTTCCTCCAACGTATTTCGATTATTTTCCATCTACTCTGTTTTTCAATATTTCATTACAAAATTACAATTTACTTTTAAGTCATGCACTTGCAAAAAACTCTGTTCATTTGAGAACTAGACGGTTGAGTATCGAGCTTCCAAATGTCGTTCCCCAGAACATCTGAGGAGAGGAGAGGCATATACTAAGATATAGCCACGCCAACATTATTTTTAACCACACTTCAGCATCACAGTAAGGCACAATAATGAACTAACAACGCCAGTATATAATTTTAGAAACTACAACTAGTCAAATTACTATATTCTGCTGCAACTAGAATCATGAGTCCTTATTGTTCAGCTGGCTGGTTGGCAAATGAAAATATAAGAAACAATTTAAAAAAGGTGATTTTAAGACGAAGTCATGTATAGAAGGATTAACATGTGGCATTGATATATTATTGGAGGAGTACTATAGATATATATATCTTGGATTATATAGTTATATAGTAGGATCTGATTGATGTGGATCATTTTTGTGTGAAAATAAAATCAAAACCAGTCAGTGGTGTCGAGAACCTGACCCTGGCTCCAACCAAGGACCCTTGCCAGCCACTCCTCATCGAAATCCCCTTCATCAGTCTTCTGATCATGGCCAACTTCAAGCCCCATAGACCCATCTTGCGGGTCTACCTGCACCACCAGAGAGGCATTTGAGGATGAGGAGAATAGTGTGGGATTCGGGGAAGGTGGTTTAGGGGATGTTGGGGAGGCCGTTATTTCTTTGTAAAGCTCTTGCATTAGCTTTTCTATGGTTTCTTCCTTGAAACAGAATTGTCCGACATCGTTGTCGGAGTCAGTGAGAATCTCGTGGAGCTTGAGGGTGAGAGTTTCTTCTTCGGTGGAGAGAGAATCGTCTTGAACGAGAGCCATTATATGTCTCCCAGAGTCTGAGGGTTCAGGGAACAAGGTGAGAGAAGAGAAGAGAGGGTGATGTGTGTACGTGACTTGTGAAACTTGGTAATTGTTGGTATATGATAAAGAAGAGAGTGAGATGCCACGGTGGCAGCGTGGTAGGCGTGGCAGGATGACGTGGCGGGGTTCTGTTCCACGGAATCCTCGTGTGACGAAAACATCAATGAATGAGGTTTCGGTGGTCCGTTTGAGGGTGGCTTCGCACGTGTTCACAATGTTTTCCTAACGCGCCTGTGTATCGTCTCATATATCAACAAAATTATTTTATTTATAATATATAGATATTATTTAAATTTAAAATTTTTATTTTCATAAAACAAAATATACATAATTTATATTATTTTATTAAAATTCATATCCATACTTAAAAATTTAAAATAATATGAAAAAAATGAGTTAATTGAAATTTGAGTTTATATAAATTTGTTAAATATTTTTTTTACTTATATCTATACAATTTTGTTAAAAGAACATGTATTCTTTTAAAATTGATGTATTAGGTTGTTTGTATATAACCTGTATTATATAATATAATATAATATAATATATTAATGATTAAAATATTTAAAATAATATTATAAATATTATTATATTGTATAATAGGTTATCAACCGTTATATGAAAAATAAACCCTCTTGGATGAGGTGTCCTCATCTTCTATCCTGTGAAGTCGGTTTCTCTTTTCAAGTTGCAATTTTATATAAGTGTGTGTTGCACTTGGACTTTAAAATACTATTTTTGACATTAAAAAAACTTAATGAATTTTAAAATATCGTATACAAATTTTACAACTTCTATAAAATATATTGCTGAGATTTTATAGTTTCAATCTTAATGAGATTACAATAATTTAGAAGGATTTTAATTTTTTTGGATTTATAAGATTTAAAAAAAATTATAAGTTTTTGAAAATTGTTCAAAAAGTATACGAGTTTAATGAAGAAATAATAACACAGGGATAGGAATTAGATAAAATAGTGAAGTTAGTTTTTTTTTTTTTCAATATTCAGTAGTAAGTTGGTCCTATATTTATATCCTTCCTGGTATTTTTGTTCTAATTATATTTAAATTTTATAGTTTAATTGAATCAAACATAAATAAGATTTATAAAACATTAAAATAGAGAAAATCGAGTATTAAAGATAGGAGATAAAAAAGATTAAAATATTAAAGATAATATTTTTTTTTCTTTTAAGATCGAGTATTTTAGGCAAAAGAAGATAAAAAAAACTGAATATTAAATATAGGAGAAAATTGAAAGATCAAACATTAAGAATAGAGGAAGAGTGATTGGGTCAAATAAAAATAAAACCAGAAAATTGAATAATCAAATAGCAAAATAAAATGAAGAAGGAAGGAAAATAAAAAATGAATAATATAGAAAAGAAGTTATAAGGTTAAGAAGAATAAAAAGTTAAAATATGATGACAAGAACCAATGATATAAATATTCATCAAACAATTTTTCAACCATTCATTCCATCATATTAAATAGAAACAAAGATTAAATCAAATGAAAAGTATATCAAACAATATTATATAATTTCTCAACCATGGATTCCATCACACTGAATAGAAATAAGGATCAAACCAAATGAAAAATATATAAAACATAAACAATTTTTTGTAAATATTTTTAAAGAAACCAACAAGAGAGAATCTGACAAATAAAATATAAACCATATCATTAAATTATACATAATTTTTATTTATATTCAAACTCACTTAAATGCCCACATTTCACAACCAATTTTTCAATTCACCAGTTCCAAGATGAGTTACTTTTGTGCCCAGATTCAATATATCAAGTAAAAAAAAATCTAAAAAATTATCTACTGATGAAATACAAAAGCCAATAAAAAAAATTATAAATTAAGGTGCAGGTTCGAATTCCATAGAAAATATAGAAGATATAGAAAAAAAAATAGGGAACAACAAAGACAAAACAAAAAAATATTTTATAATTGTTGTGAGGGTTACGTTGGTTGTCAAAATATCACTTCTCTTATAACAATCAACCTTTTGATATGGAATGTCTCACCAAGTCCATTTTGGTGCAACAAGGCTTTTTCACCTTCTCTTAACTTCATCCTTCTTACCCCTTTTCCTTTTGGGCTCATCAAACGTCATTGTCATAACTTGATTATTTCAAGTTAATTAAAAATTATTCCATATATAAATAATTTTAAATAAATCACGTAATTTTGATTTTTTTTCCTGCCTATTTTTGTCAAATTCAAAATTTCTTCGAATATACAGTTGAACTAAAATTCACTAAATAAGAAATTTTTAAAACAAAATTATTTTACTAATAACATAATAAATAATAAAAAATAAGATCTCGATAAACGGTAGTCTAATCTGGTATGCCAACTGCTATTTTCTTCTCCTTGATTACTTGCGTTTGTGGAACAACAAGCAACAAATAAGCATTTTTGATATACTAGATAATATCACAGTTATCACGGATGCATTACTATTACTAACAATGCAGAACAAAAATAGAGTCCTGGTAGTTTCATCTCAAACCAAATTAGTGGTAACTAGGGTCAAACTTTATACTAAAAATGTTATTATTTCAAGGCACATTATACTCTCCCAGAGACCATAGTTATTAAAAATATAAAACAAAATAATTTTATTCATCCATGTAATAGTTGGCTTTTTTATAATGTTTAATGTTAACTTCATTTTTTTCATCATTTTTAATAGAGAATGTCTGTCCTTTTTTGTTTCCGGTCCCTTGCTTGGCTATAAAGATCCTTATTTCAATGTATCCGGTGCTTGAGAAAGTTTAAACTTTCGCATACTTAATGCATGAGACATCATATTACAATTTCTATGATTACCTGGTCTAAAATTTTATATATCTTTTTTATCTACGTCCTTTCAATTGGATAGCTGGAAGAGAAAGGAAAAGAAAAGAAGTTACAAGAAATATTGAACAATGGATTGATACAGGTATGCAGGGGAGGGAAATCAGGCCCAAATTGCAAGGGAAGACATCAATCCAGCCCCAAGGAAAAGCATGCAGTAAGACACTATCTGCAGCCTAAAGTTACAACTCATTCTCTTGCTAAGAAAATCCGCAGCTATCAAATCTACCAAAGCCATATACACCAAAATCCCCGCCGAGAAGGAATCGAGAATACCTTCGGCGATGAGTGCACCGGGGCTGTAAGGGTTAAACCCTGAAGCAATGGCCGTACCTATGGCAACACCCAACGGTGTAGTCAGTGCAAAAAAACAAGCCATTATGGTCGCGGAGGAGGCTTTAAACTGCGCTTGGGAAATGCACCCTCCAAGCGCAAACCCTTCAAAAAACTGATGAAAAGATAACGCCGCAATCAGAGGCCTTATGGTACAAGGACTCTCAGAAACCCCTAGAGACAGCCCGATTATAACCGAATGAGACACAATCCCAAGCTCCAACACCTGCAATGCAACACCAATTATGCATGCGTGTTCACATTTTCTCACCGTTACTCTCTCCACAATAATTATTACTAGCTACAGTAAGTACAATACAAGGAACGCAGAGAGAGGTTTAATTATTTACCTGAGATACCACGACGTGACGAACGTCGGTTTCTTCTCCTTCTAGAATGTTGGAGTGGGCGTGGGCGTGGGAGTGACCCTGTCCGTGTCCATGGGACTGGGCATGAGCGTCATCTTGTTCCTTGTCGCTGCCAATGCCATGACACGAGTCATGGCCGTGGGGGTGGTTATGTCCATGATGCGCAGCATGTGCATGCATCCCCACGATGTGCATTCCCCCGCTCTCTTCTTCTCCGAACACCTTCCATACGGATTCGGATGACCCGACCCGCGACTGCTCCTCCGTTGCGCGGTTGAGCCCCTGCTTCCGCTCGTAGTATTGCGTTCCCACGAAATCGAGAAGGAGCGTGAAGAGCGCGGCCATCATGGCGAAGAAGCCGGTGAAGGGAAACTTGGACCACGGGAAGGAAGGCAGGCACGGGTGTTGGAGCGCTTCGGTGGCATCAGAGAGCATGTGGACAAATCCCGTCGCCAGAATCACGCCTGCGGCGAAGGCCTTGGCAGCCACGAAGAGGTTGCCATCGGTGCGGAGGAAGCGGCGGTGTTTCCCGACGAGGGGGATCGCGATTCCGGCCATGCCAGCCAGGAGAATGGAGGCGATGGCGACGCATTTGAGAACCAATGCCGCTGACTCGTCCCGGCACTGGTCTAACTCAGCGCCTACGCAGGTCGAGTTCATCATCGATTCCCGAAAGTTCTGGTAGAAGGACGGTTTTTCTATTTGGGAAAAAGCACCGGCTCAAGAGTTTAGAAATTAATCGATTCCCCTATAAATATATATGAGGCGAATTATACATGCATTAGAATTTGCGATTCGCCTCCTGACACACACATATATATATATATATATATATATATATATATATATATATATATATATATATATATATATATATATATATATATATATATATATATATATATATAGTGTGTGTGTGTGTGTGTGAGAGTGTGGGTTAATGGAAAGCATTCAGAATCGAAAAACGATTATTACCTGAGAAGAAAGAAGTTTTTGGAAGGAGTTGGTGGAGCAGTAGCCACAGATCCTAAAAAAGAGAGAGAGAGAGAGAGAGAGAGAGAGAGAGAGAGAGAGAGAGAGAGACAAAACATCATCGATTACATCGAAAGTTACGCGGAATAAAAAGAGAAGAAGAAGAAGAAGAGAGGAAAAGGAGAAGAACCTCGGTAAAAATCATGGGAGTGTGGGAGATTTCTAGGAGAAAAGAAGGAGAAGCTTGTGAGATGAAGATTGAAACTGGAATTGAATAAAAGTATAAATAATAAAGTGGAGAAGATTGGGGTTGAGATTGGGAAGTGGATGCTAGGGAGAGGTAGAAGAAGCGTGTTGGCGAAAATGAAGAAGAGTGTCGTCATTTGAAGGAGAGAGAGGAGGGAGAGTGAGTTGTGGATTCTTAGGTTCCCACTTTTTTCAATTAGATGAGCGCGATAGTGTCGACATTCTTTCATCACATTTTCTATTATGCTGTCTAATTCTTGATCATCCTTTTCCTTTTTTATCCTCCCACACTGCTTACAATTTCCTTTTTTTTTTTAATTCTACTTTATTTAAATACACCTTTTTGTTTTTTAATCCTTCTTATTATAAAATTATTCTAATTTCTATCATCTTTTTTTAAATCCTACTTTGTCCACAGAATATGTTACCTCCTGGTTTGACTGTTTCTGCTCCTTTTCAGTTATAAATTCATTTAGCCAAAGATTAGTTTTATGCTCATTTATTTGTGACATCTGATTGGGTCGAATCTTGTTCTCTTTGCACCACTTTTGCATTGGATTGGATTGGATTGAATTAAGGAAAGTTATGGGTCGACCCAGAGTTATAAATTGGGCTCATTGGGCTAAATAAATAAACAGGCTCCAGTGATGAAATAATTCGAGACACCGTCTCATCTCTATGAAATTGAAAGCAGAAAAAAAAGGGAGGGTCGTGTACGTTATACAGGAAGGGACAATCACGTTAGAGTAACGTTGATTTCATAGCCACGTGGGACATACCAAAATCAAATCAAAACGCCCAAGTTAAACGCATTTTATTATTATTTATTTGCGTTTGAAGGAAGGAAGAAAGAAACGAGGAAGTCAAATCAAAATCACAACCGAACCCAAACCCAAAACCAAAACGACAAATTCTCTTTCACTCACTGCATAGGGACACTGTTCTGTATTCGGTGTGCAGACAGAAAGAAACACACTTTTTTCCAAACCCAAGCACCCTCCTTTTTTTCCTTTCTTCTCTTACCTTGCAACAAAAAAAAAAGAAAAGAAAGAGCGTCTGAGACAGAGGAGAAGAACAACAAAATCATGGGATTAGGTTGGGCGGCGAATCAACAATGCAGAAGGTGGACGACAAGTCGTGTACGTGGAGCAACTCTTCTGTGTTGCATGTTCTTATTCTTCTTCACTCCCGCAATCCCTCGCTCTCCCAAGCACCACCAATTCGTTGACATGCGCAATCTTCTTGGTAACCACCCACATTGTACACGAGATCATAATTTTTGTGAGAATTTTGTTTCGGTTGCTTCATCCATGTTCTCATGATTTTTGGCTCTCCAGGAGTACCCAACACGTTGAATGTGATTACGAATTTCCCGTTCTTAGTTGTGGGGGTCCTGGGCCTTGTTCTTGCCATCGAAGGAGGTTTCTTCAACATAAGGTTTTAGTTCCTGCGTATCGAAATTGGTTAGTTCCTTTTCAACTGTTAATTGACATCGTTGTGTTGTTGCAGTTCCCGAGGAGAGGTTTGGACGTGGGCACTGTTCTACGCTGGAATAGCTGGGGTGGCTTTTGGCTCTGCTTATTACCATTTAAAACCCGATGATCATCGTGTGTTGTGGGACACTTTACCGGTTAGTTAGCATTCTATATCTTGTTCTGTGATCTTGTCATTGCTCTATTGTTTTCAAACTGGTTGATTAATTCGGTGCCATTTGAGGTTTTCTGGTTAAATTAATTAATCTCAATGCTAAAAGTACTTTTCTTGCAAGTTGTTATCAAGTGGGGTCACTCCTTATTCCCTTCTTTTCACTGTGAAGCTCACTGGTTTTGTGAATGACAGATGATGGTGGCCTTCTCCTCACTTTTCTCTTGTTTGGTTGTCGAGAGATTTGGCCAAAGGACTGGGCTGTGTTGTGTGTTTGCACTCATTGTTGCTGCATTTCTATGTGTAGTTTATGAACGGTTAGTTTCTATTTTTTTAATCCATGCCTATTATGTGGTGGTTGCATACGCTAAGTGAAGGTGCTGAAATGGTCAAGTTTTATGCTGAATTCTGTCTGCTAGTTGGTTGCAGAATTTATAATGATATTCGGTTCTGCGTGACATTCCAGTTGATTCTACCTCTAGCAATTCCAGTAATAGCAGTCATGTACCGCTCCAAATATACTCACTCAAGATATTGGTTTTTGTCTACAGGTAATCCCTGAACTCTGTAATTTCTTTTGTTTTGCGGAACAAAGTTTCTATGTGACTGACTGCGCTCCTGCTTTTGATGTGGAAAACTACTTCTATGTGCCAGTGTATCATTCACGGAGAAAGTGCCTATTATGATATATTGTAAATTTAATATAGGAGTATTTATCTTTTAATGATGTTTCCTCTTTTGTGACCTGCTGTCATTTCTCTAAGCAAGTTAGTAATAGCCTAATAAGAAAAGAAGACTATTCTAAAAGAAGTAAACCTCGTGTCGTTAGTAGCGTTTAAGATCATACTATCTGCTTACTGAGTTTAGGGGATATCACATGATATCTTTAGAATGTTTGATATGAGAAAGGATGTTGGCATTCCACTTCATAGTTTCATTGACTATAGTTCTGATGTTTAGTAGTGGATAACTTCAAGAACTTTATTTTTTCATAAGTTAATATTAACTTGTGCACCTAACTTTTAAAGAATTTTTCTCATCTAACTTTCTCAAAAACTAAGATGCGTAAGTTGATTTCTGTGACTGGGAGTATAGAAAAAGATCCTTTATGTTGTCAGATGGGTCAAAAGTATTGAAGTTATGTTGACAATTGTGTTTCAGAATCTTTGCCTCCGATCCCGATTTCATGAATATTCTAACTCGAGGAAGGTTTCAGGGCATGCCAACCCCATATTAATGCTCTAACTTGATTTTTATTTTATTATTAGACCTTCTTCTTGAAAACAATGATTGTTTATGAAGTACACCTTCCATGGTTTTATGTTTGCGGGGATATAACTCTTCCATTTTTTGTAAGCCACCGTTTTCATTCTATCCATTATACTTATATCTCTAATTGACCATGCCTTGTTTTGATTATCCTAGTGGACAAAGTTCGCCATTATACTTTAGACATGCATCTTGACGTCTCTAGTTCACCACGTCCTGCACATCGTTGGTTTTGTTCCTGTAAAAGTTGAAACATTCCACTGCTCTAAAATGTGCTCTGTGCCGGAATTATGCAAATTTGAATGAAAATAAAGCAGTTGTTAACATATGAATTGAGGATATCCAAGTTAAGCAATGACCATATTCTTTTAATTGTTGCGGATATGCTTTCAATCCTGAACTTTCCTGCCACAGGGATTTATCTGCTAGCAAAATTTGAAGGTATTACTGACAAGAAAATATACCATGTAAATAACTACATCATCAGTGGGCATTCTTTGGAACACTTGTGCTTGGCACTGATCCCAACTTTACTCAGCTTAATGCTCATCTACAGGGAACCTAAGTTTCAAAGGTAATAATCAAAATAAATGTCTTGTGGCCATACTTAATTGGCATATCGAACTGTCTGTTATTTCTTATACATCTATTGGCTTGATGGCAGAGTAGTTGATGTTAAAGACCGACCTTGAAGAGGCAGAAAGAACTGATGATTGTTCAATTGCTCCTTGATGGCTTAGAGACGTTGCATAAGTGAAAATGCCTTAGGATTATATAAACCATGGTCGGAAAATTAGATGAAGTTCTCCTCCATAACTTGTAGTGTTTAGCTGTATAGTGGGGTCAAATTCCTTTATCTTTATTTATGAAGGAATCTCTGTTGACACCAATCAAATCTTGCCTGGTGGGTCGTCATGTGTATGAAAAGCTTGAGCTTTTCACATCATATAGGATGTGATATGTAATGATTGAAGACCTGAGGTGACGAACAAGAGGTTTCTAACTTTTTGAATTGTTTTTTCGTTGTTCATTGCCCTTGTGAAAATTGTGACAGCATTATTGATGCATCAACTTGAGGCATTGAAAATTTTGTAACTAGTCCGTGTTGAGTTTATTTTTGATGAGTTTATTTTTGATGAGTTTGTTTTTTGGGATGTGAGAATAACTAACATGCAGAAAGCATGATAGATTCTGCTGTGAACTTGTGATGGACATAAGATTGCGGTCTTGTATGTTAGTTAGCCTTGTGGATATATTATGGATGAATCCAGGTGGCAGTAGATGGTTCGGGATTTACATTAGCAAAGTTCATGGCACGTGTTGTTGGTGCTTTAGATGCTCACCTGGCAAATATATGCTCCCTTCACTTGCTTTTGCTTTGTCCATTTGAATAACTTTTGTGTCTGCTTATTTTATGGCTCCCAACACATTCATAATCATGTGCCTTGTACCCATATAAACACAATTATTCATTTGTACTACACTACGTTCGGTGGTCTTTCCCTTCTCCATTATGGCAAGGGAAGATCAAATTCTTCTTACAAGATTGGAAGATTTTAATTTAATAGTTAAAGATCAAAATCATTGATCATACAACTAGCAAATGGACACATTCGAGGCTACATACATTAACGTACTTATGTGACAAATTACTGTTGGGTTTATAATCTCCTGACGAAGCCACAACGCTTTTTGTTCTGGGATTAGGAACATTTGTGACAATAAACCTAAGACATGTTATTCTTTCCAAGGAAAGAAATACGCAAACAAAAACTGTTGTGTATATGCTTTGATGTTGCTTTTTAGTATTTTGGCTCCAGCTTTGGTTTATTTGTATCACGAGTGGTCGTAAATGATCTCAGTTAGAAAAAATAATAAATATTAAGCCAATAGTGTGACCACACGAAATTATTTGTACATAATTTGATTCATTTAACAACTTTTTCTTCTTGAAACTTATTTGGACAGGGTTGAATAAACTGAAACCGAATAACTTTTAAAATAGATTTCTAGAGTTTAATTTATTATTTATGATATTGGTGCTGGAAACTTAATAACCATTTAATATATTTATAATTTTAATTTTTTAGATTTTTTCATTTTTATAATTTTTTATAATTTATAATTTTATTTCTCTAAATTTAATAATTATTTAATATATTTATTTATATATTTATAATTTTATGATTATCTTTTTATTTTTTTACTTTTTTATATTTATTAATAATATTTTATTTGATACTAAAATCATCAGTAAAAATATGTTAATGAAAGGATATATATATATAAAAAAAAGGAACATAATGTTTCAATCTTCCGAATCTAACCTTCATTCAAAAACTGTTTATCATTAATGGATAAAATCAAAATATATGAATTCAGCATTTTGTTTTTAATTCAAATAGCTATAGATCAAGAAAATTTCAAATAATTTCTATTTTGAAAATATATAAGGCAATTTAATATTTGGTTTGGATGAATTTTAAGACATACAGATTCACTTGATTTGATTATAGAAAGTAGCGAACACATTGCCAGTTTAATTCATTTTCTATTAAATACAACACCCCACACACACACACACACACACACACACATATATATACATATATACATATATATATATATATATATATATATATATATATATATATATATATATATATATATATATATATATGATGAATATAGTACAGAAAACTTCTCTAAAATACCAATATCTCATCATAACTCAACTTGGTCCCGATTATGAATTACTAGTATACTTTAATTTGTTGCTTCTTATATAATATTTTGTTTTTATTATTTTCTTTATAAAAAAATATAAAATTAATATAATAACAAAGAACAAGAGATAAAGATGGTTAAATTAGATTGTTTGACATATAATAGTTATAAAGGTATGTACTAATAACATGCTAACTTAACAAATATAACACTTAAAATATAAAACCTATCACGCATAGTCATATTTTGTATGCAGCATTGTTTTCATTTCATTTATGTAAAACATTGGTAAACAATCTTTATATTTCCTCTTCCCTTTTGCTACATATAGTCTTTTCTTCTATGCCATGTATTTCATTTACATGATTGATTTTATATTTTCATATGTATCTTTGTTGCTGGACAACTTATGAAAGATAATTTGACATATATATTTCCTAAGTTGTGAGTTATGTTGATTGTGAGATGTTAATTTTGAGGACAAGCGATGTAATCAAAAGATTGCAAAGGCATTTGTTGCGATGATATGGTGTTTTGAATTATAAATGATAAGTTACTATTGATTTTGACATGATTGTTTAAATTCTAATATATTATAAATGTTATTGTTGTGTGTTATTTTTAATTACGATGATCATGTCTTTTTGTAGGAAGAGACGATGATGCAAGTGTTAGGGACCATCGTGAGGATATGCATTTAAAGTGGAATCAAAAAGTTCTCTAAACATCATACGTTGATGAAAATACTAAATATAAGACATGGAATTAAGATTCTAATTGATTGTCTGTGTAATATAATTAGTTATGTTGGTATGGTCTAAAGAACGTAAGTTAAAAAATTTCTAATTATTTTTTTATTTTTTTAACATAGTAGTTTTAAATTTGGTGGCAATTCCAACTATGATTAATTAATGGAGAAATAAACAAAATAGTTAATGATAACAATTTCAAAAGTCTTTAAAAACTATCATGATTTAGAATATATAAAAAATTTTAAAAAATGAAAAATAACTAATAAAAGATCAGAAACGGTGGGGACTACGTGATGGAAAAGTTTAGAAGTTAAAATAGTTGTATTCCATTTAATGCAAGTGTTCCAACTTCCAAGGTAATAAATATACGCTATCAGAGTGGGAACCAATGGCCCCTTCTCACTGTTTTAAAAACTGTTTTTCATAACATTTTCAGTGTTGAAAAGAGTACTTTAAGGATACAAATTCAGAAATTAATATTTTTAAAAAATAAACACTAATCATCATTGAAAATACAATGGGGTGGTAGTACTTTTTACCTCGTAAAACCAAATTATTTTTAGTTTCTTAATTAACTTTATTAAAGTTGCAATAAACAAAAGTTGTCAAAATTTGGCATGGCATGTGAAGTTTAGTAAGAAGAAAAAGAAGAGAGAGTATATATAACAAATGAAAAATATTATATAAAATAGTGTTATAAAAAATAAGGAGCGAAAGTTACGCAATGTTTGTTAATTTAAAAAACAGTGAAGAGAAGAAATTTGATGCAGAAAGCATTATTTATTTTGTTCATGAAAATTAAATACAGAAAAATGATAATAACATAGTTCAACCAATACTCACCACATCAGTAATTGAAAGCTCTGATGAAAAATGAAAAAGAAAAATGCAAGTGTCGGCGTTCTACCATGAGAGAATAGAGAGATTGGGTTAGGACAAAGCACATTGCTACTCACTCATAGTTTTCTGTACAAAACCAACCCTTCATACTTTTTCATTCTTTTTTAACTCAAACCCTTGTTTCATTCTTTAAATATTACCATGTGTTGAGAAATGGAGCAGGGAGTAGTAGGTTGAGGTTGAGAGGTAAGGTAATTATTGACTTTGGAGTCAAGCAAGTGCAACAACGAAATTGATTACAAAACTAATCTTATGGTTACACTGTCAGGTATCAACCAGCATTCAAACAAAATCCAATACCTGCATCTTATTACAACTTTTCACCCCTCACATTGGGTTACAAATTACAATGAATCAACACTTCCTACTTTTAACCTTATTTGTACTTATAATACTTCAAATAATTAATAAATTATTGCATGACAATGTTACTACTCTTACTCACCCATTTCATTTTCACCAATCAAAACTCCATGTTTCTTCTGCCTATACTTTGAATGATTAAAGCATTGCATGCAACCACTTGCCTTTCATTCTTCCTAGATAAACCACCTGTTGATGATTGGCAACTAGTGAAATGTCTACAACAAAACCATAATGGACCTTCATAATATCAAGAGTTTCTTTCCAATATAATACATTTTTTACAACGAATACAGTTACCAAAACAATATATATTAAGAACATTTATTATGTTCAAAATATGAGATAGTTTAATACTTTTCTTTCTTTTATTAATTATTAGTATTTAAAGCATATTTTATATCTTGCTTCATACATAAGGGAAAAAAAGACATTGAAGAAAAAATGTGTGGACATAAAATCCTGAGGATTGTAATTGTTCTCTGTATCAAGTTGTCAATTCAATGCAAGTCTGTATCGTTATATGCGTGTTTCAATATTTTTGTCTTTAGCATGTTATATAAGACATTTGGCGAATTCAATTCAAGTGGAGTAAACTTAGTGCATTGCATTGAAATATAATTATACTTTTAAGAACAAGTCCTCAATAGATAATTAACGCTACACAAGTTTCATTTTGTTAGATGTAATTAAAGGAAAAAAAAAAGGATGAAAAAGGAGTGGACCCAAGATTACCGAGAGTTCACTCAACTCAATCACATTCACATGTTAGGAAGCCAACAAATGGAGAAGAAGAGAACAGTGCAGAAGCAAGCACACAAACCTTGACTTGGTTTTGAAGTCTTATGAAATTAACAAGAGATTAGAGTAGAATTAGAATTAGGATTAGGATTAGGATTAGACACAATAGACAGAGAGAATAAGGGTAGAAATCCAAATGAAGTAAATGAAAAGAAAAAGAGCAGTTACTGCAAAGAAGAAAAAAATGAAAAAAATAAAAAATAAAAAATAAGAAAAAAGATTCCAAAACTGGTGAGGTGGAAGCATCCACTTTTGGTTCTGGGTACCTATCTCTTCATCTCACTCTTCTCTTTTCTCTCTACAAAACTTGTTCCTCTCTCAACCCTTTTTTCTTCACTCTTCCCTTTCTCGCTTCTCTTCACTCTTCACTCTTCACTTCACTTTCTTATTTCCCATTTTAATTTTTCATTTTTTTTATCAAAATGACGGACCAATCTTCCAAACCCAACGGAAACGGCGCAATTAACGGCGCTGCCGCCACTAACGGCAATCCGGCTCCCGTTAAGTCCCAACTGTACAACCCCAACCGTCAAGTTTACCGGCCGCAATCTCACTACCACCGCCGCGGCCAGCGCTCCCACCGCAACCTCTGCTGCTGCTGCTGCTTCTGGACCATTCTCACCGTCCTCGCGGTGGCGCTCCTCGCTGCCATTGTCGGCGCCGCACTGTACGTTCTGTACCGCCCGCACCGTCCCGAATTCTCCGTCACCAACCTCCGCATTGCCAAGATGAACCTCACTTCTTCCGCAGACTCGCCATCGCACCTCGTCACGCTCTTCAACCTCACTCTCATCGCCAAAAACCCCAACAACCACCTTGTTTTCTTCTACGACCCCTTCGCCGTTACGGTCTTCTCCAACTCCGTCCATGTCGGGAACGGCTCCATTACGGCGTTCACCTCCGACAAGAGCAACCAGACGAGTCTCCGCGCGGTGCTGTCTGGGTCGCAAGATCTGGATACTGATTCGTTGACTAGCCTGAGATCGGGTCTGAAGATGAAGAAGGGTTTCCCCGTCGAGATACAGATGGATACCAAGGTGAAGATGAAGATGGATTGGCTCAAGAGCAAGAAGGTCGGAATTAGAGTCACGTGCGATGGAATCAGAGGAACAGTTCCCGCCGGCAAGTCTCCGGCGGTGGCTTCCGTCGTGGACTCCGAGTGTAAGGTGGATCTTCGAATCAAGATCTGGAAGTTTTCCTTTTAATAAAAATTAAAAACAATAATAATAATAATGTTTTTTGGTTTATTGATTCTTATTATTATTGCAAAATTCGTTATTATCATCGACAGCATATCGATTTCAGTAACAATCCAATCATGATTCCTTCTCTCTCCTTTTTGTTCTTTTTTTCGATAATTTTCGTAAGGGGGTGGATTGATTCCGATTTATGCGGTGAGAATTGAAGGTGGAATTTGTACGGAGGGAAATGAATTTTGAGCTTGTAATATGAGATTTAGGGCAGAAGGCCCTGAATTTAGTTTTTTTTTTCTTTTTAACTTGTCATTGTAGTTTGTTGATGTAATTTGATTCAAAGTTCTTATAGTGATGCAACTGAAAATTGTATGTGGATTTTGAAATCCAAGTGTGAAATCTGACGAATCCCCTGTGTCTGGTTCTCTTCAATAGATCTATGTTTAATGGACTCCCCGATCTGCTCAACATGATTGAATGAGATTCTGTACATTGATTTCGGTGAATCAGAACGATCCACGGTGTCACTTAGTAACCAATAAAGGAAACCTGGACACTACATACTGCATCTTCATTTAGCAATCAAATTATTAATACGTAGTATTTCATTATTTTATGTGTAATATTTTATTATTATGAATAATTTAAAATCTACTTGGTAATTATAAGTTTAAAAATAATTATGATAAAACTAGTGAGATGTAAGAAATATTAGAAATATATTATATGTGTAAAACAATGTAGTTTGAAAATGATAGAAATTACAAATGACAAAGTCGTCTAACAACAGAAGTCCTGAAGCATGCGTTGAGAGAGAGAGTGCGAAGGGGTGAATTTGATTAATGTAAGAGTAAAACGAGGAAAATGACTTTACGAAGGTCAGTGAGTAAGATCTTGGCGCAGACTGAGACATCAGAGTTTGAAGTTTGAAGCCATACAAGGTTCAGGACTTGATGCCAAATGCTGTGCAGCTATCTTTCTGATTTCTGAAATCTGCCCCCACCCAGTTGCTTTTCTACGCCTCCTTCTGTCTGCACTGCACTGTTGAAACTCGTTCCACCCTTCAATCGTTGTTACTGTGCTCCCACCAAATTAAAGATCGTTATTACTGTGCACTTAACTGATAATCCTTAAGTTCAAAACCGCTTTTACCTTTTTGGCCTCCAATTAGCAGTAATTGAAACAAAGATTTGGACGAGTACACAACACAAACAGTGTTCCTGGGATTAGTTAGTTAATGATTGCTTCATCCCACCCAACTTTACTCGTGTGCAGTTTGATTGAGACTTGGAAGGTGCTCTCACTAACGGATCAGATTTAGCATAGACAAAAACTACTTTCTTTATCAAGTGGCGTGGTCAAATTTCTGAAGATTTTCATTTTTTTTACATGCAGTTCTCTATATCTTCTTTTTCCATCATATAACGTGTCATAATTTTAACCTTTTTCCTTTTTTTTTATTGGGGTGTGAGAAAAATTATATGTGAAAGATCACTTGGGGCCAAAGCAGAGATCCCAAAAATGTTGTGCTAGTGGATCTGAAGGCAACGGGTGGTGGGTGGTGTACGGATATTTAAAAGCTTTCTATTTTCTACCCTTCCTATGGCTACCTATTTCTGCAGGGGAAATCCCAATCTCCTTCCTAAACCACATGTGAAGACTGAGACTGCATTAGATCCTAGGGACCTACCTGCTACATTGATATCAGATAGCGATTCTAAACAATTTAAGAAAAATGAGCGAGACAAGAAACAAGTAAGGAGAGAACAAGTTTTCTATATACACCGGAGAAATCCATATATTTTTTCTTCATAAACAACACCTGTATAGGATTTCTCATTTATCATCATCAAGTGAAGTGCATGATAGTGATAGATAGGAGTGTTTTAATTCAGGTGCACGTGGTTACCATGGTGTCTTGGTCTAGTCGGCAAGGCAGTTAGATCTTGTATATCTTCCGATTCTTTTCCTCAGTTTGTGTCCCCTTTTCCCAATACTTTTGTTTTCGTTGGTTGCTCTTGTTACTTGCACATACTTAGTGACATAATAGTATATACAACACGATTATGATAGGTGTGATATGGCTTAATTTTCTACCTACAATATCCATGTGTGTCTTCACTCCCAATGCAATTGTCAATGACACTAATTAATGCAACTAACCACGTAAACACATTTGAAGAAGGGGCCATGTATAAGTGTATCCAATTTCAGAACAGAAAAAGCGATCCTGAGAGTGACATGATGCTGTAGTTCTGATTCTTGGTGGAAAGGGTGCGTTCTCATCCAACTATCAAATTTATGTTGATGGGTGCTTCGTGTTTAATCTGTAGTTTTGTGACACACGCGCATCATTTGAGCATTATAAGGATATAAATGGGAAGGAGGGAGGTCGTTTTGATGATTGTGACTTTGTAGCCATAGCTTGAGCAGAGAATGAGAATGCTGTTGTGGTTGGTCAATACAAATGATTTGTGTTGCTACATGGGCAAATAAATTATTGAAAGCATTGTTTCAGCGGCGTTAGCTTATGATCAAAGAAACAAGTTTCTCTAGTCATTTGCTGAAAATGTGGTTAAACCCCTTTTTGAACCACAGACAAATTAAACCAGAACCAGCTGTGTAAGTGTTAGGAGGAAATCGAGAAAAACGATCGAAAAATGAAAGAAATAAAAATCGAGAAACATGTGATTGATCAATAACGCGAAGAGGTGAATGAGAAATCATTCGATGTCCAATTAGAAGAGCGTGACACACAAAATCGAAAGTTAGAGTAGGAATCGAAGGAATAATAGTTAAAAGTTTATTGTGGAACAAACCAAGAAATTAGAAGTATATGATGTTAAGGCTAAAAGGAACCAAAAGTAATTCAAAGTTCTCGATAAAATCGAAATCGAGGGGAAGGCTAACCTACGTGGATATCGAAACCCTGGCCAAATTGTGAAGGGAAGAACAGTCAAGCGCATATACGGGAAGCAGTTTCTAAACCATGGTAGAAGTTGAAGATCGTGAGAACGTGGGTACAGTATTGAAACCATAGAAGATAAACTGCAACACGCATGTAGAACGTGGTAGCAGTTTTGTTAACTGCTCCTGGAAGGTTTGAATGATGCCCTATAAATAGAGCAAAGGAGGAAGGAATAAGGGGCAGAAAATTGGCAGATAACAGAATTAGTAGTGAGAAGTCTACCGGAAAATGACGAACACCATGAAGCTTCTGGCAATCTGGATTTCCATGCTCATCGAGTACCTTTACCGCTTTCTTTACTTTCCTTGGTAATTTATTTTGATGCACCTTATATTCAGCAATTTTATGTTTTTGTTCTTTTGATTCCTTGTCATTTCAATTCAATGAAAGTTAAGTTTTCGCGTTTAAGTTTCCTTGTCCTTTAACATTGATGCAATTTCGATTTCCGGTATATTTTCTGCAATCTTGACTCCTTGCCATTTACATTTTCGTTCTTTCGATTCCTTTTCATTTACATTTAACGTACTTTTAAGGTTTCCGCATTTTACGGGTTTCAGCAATTTAGTATCCTGTATTGTTTTTCGATTCGACATTTTATTGCTTTTTGCATCTTAAATACAAAACACCAAAAAAGTAGCATTTTCGATACTTGGTAAGGTTCGATCCTCATACGCATTTCGATTGAAAATTAATTTGCTAGCCTAAGTAAAAAGAACTTACGTGGTAGAATTTTGGTTAGTATCAAAACATCTTGGGGTCGAAATCAATCGAAATTCCACCAGAAACAAATTGGCGCGCCAGGTAGGGGAAGCCTTGTGTTGAAAATACACAAAATTGGTTAGTTTGAAAGTGTATGAGATTAAGGAGTGGGAGAGTTATAAGAATGAGTCAAAATTCATCAAATAACCAGAGTAATAGTGAGGGTCTAAATGGTGTACATTCACCAAATACTGGGGGGCAAAGTCATAATGGGAATATGCCTGTAACATCGACAACTGCGAGTATGTCGACACCTGCGGGTAATGAACAAAATTCAGGCACCTTAGCAAATACCCAAGTAGGATCTAGTGTGGTGGTACCAAATAATATGCAGACTGTGGGAAACCCCACAACCACATATGTAGGGCCATATATGAGTGGAAGACCTCCCAGGTTTTCGCTTAATAATATGAATGGGGCTGGAACTTCTTCAGCACAGCGGAATTCAAGATATAACTTAGGAATGCCTCAAACACTAGGTATGCCGCAAAATTTCGGAGTCCCTCCGAATTTAGGGACATCTCAAAACTTAGCAATCCCCCAGAATTCAGGAAGCGGACAAAATTTAGGTACACAACAAATACCTCGAAATCTAGATCATAGAGGAAATCTGGATCATGGAAGACATACATTCGATAGAGATTATCATCGATACAATTTCGAGACTATCGAAAACACTGGTACTGGAATATCTAGTAATTCATTAGGGGTACTTAGACAACAAATGGATGAGAGCAATTTTGAGATGGTGAATATGTTATCACAACAGTTGACTACAGTCCTAAATCCATTAGTTCAAAACACTACTGCTAGTTTTGAGATATTAGCAGACCAAATGTCACGAATCGGGGATGCATTGGTTGTGCCTCGACAAACAAGGGTAGAAAATCATGCTAACCAGAATGCTAATATCAATCCCCCGTATCTATTGAGGAGAAATAGAAATAATGATCAACACTAACATGTGAGGAATGATATTTATGGGAATTTGAATGAGGGATTTCAAAATATGCACAATCAGAATAACATGTTAGGACAGAGGGTGAATTTACAAGGGATGAAATTTAGACCACCCAATCAAACATACTTTGTGTCACCTTTTCCAAATACGATTCTCGAGACAGAATTACCTTGAGGATACAAAGTGCCTAAATTCACCAAATTCGCTGGAGAGGTTGGTGAATCAACTATCGAGCATGTAGCTTGATATCAGATCGAATGTGGGGACCTAGCGATAAGTGAGGAATTAAAGATGAAATATTTCCCTAGTTCTTTGACTAAGAATGCGTTTACTTGGTTTACCTCGTTGCCACCTAATTCGATTTATAATTGGCTGCAACTTGAGAGAAATTTTCATGAGCAATTCTTTAGAGGAGAAACTCAAGTAAGTCTTGTTGATTTGATGAATATAAAAAGATACAATCATGAAAGCATAGATGATTATTTGAATCGATTTAGACAAATGAAGTCGAGATGTTTCACTCAAATTCCCGAATATGAGTTAGTCAGAATGGCCTCTGCAGGCTTAGAATTCTCGATTAGGAAAAAACTAGTCAATTTGCCATTGAATGACATGGCTCAATTAGCCGATAAAGTAAGAAGAGTGGAACAAATTGAGTACGAAAAACAAAGGTATAAGAAATATGAGAAACCCTTGAAAAAAGAAAGAGTAGCATATATAAATGATTTGCATGAGACAGATACCATGACAGAAAATGATATTGAAGAAACTGTCGATGAGAAAGTAAACATAGCAGAACTCAAAGTAGGGGCTCCATATATCTGTAAACTGCTACAAAAGAATGAAGTGAAAGATAAGATGGCAAATCGAACATATACTTTCGATGTGACAAAAGCTGATAAAATCTTCGATATTTTATTAAAAGACAAACAAATTAAGTTGAGTGAAGATCATAAACTGCCTTCGGCAGAACAAAGGAATGGTCGAAAATATTGTAAATTTCATAATGTTTTTGGACATTGGACTAACAATTGTATACATTTCAGGAATACGATCCAAGATGCGATTGACCAAGGAAGACTGAAATTTGAAGAGATGTCAATGAAAGTGGACACGAGTCCATTCGAAGTACAAGTGGGGTATATTGAATCCCAAACGGGCATGACTGAGGATGTCCGAGTGACGAATTCTGCTTTTATAGGCATGGTCGATGTTACTGAAAACATTGATCCTAAACATGTCAGAATGGATGTGTCTGAAGAAGATATGGAATTCGATCTGAGTGAATTCGAAAAGGAATTCGAGAGGGAAATTTATCCTCGGTCAGGAGATTCTCTCCTCGAGTTTTTGAATAGAAAGAAAGGAAAAGATGAAGATGTGTCGTTATGTCCGCGATGCAGTGCAGTCTTCGACAAGTCAGCCGCTAAGGCTTTCAGAGTAGAACAGATAAAGAAAATCGAGAGTCAGAACGAAAGGAAGAATGACAAAGTGGATCAAGCAAGCCAACCGACGATCGGAGAAAGCCAACAGAAATCCGATGGTTCTGGTGTCAGTGGGAATCAAAGACAGTGGGTAAAAAGAGCGATGTACCCTTCTCGAAGAGGAGGAAGTAGACTTCAGAGTAATGATGTCTTCGAGAGGCTTTCATATGAAGAGGGATCGAATGCTGGATTCCCGACATTCCAAAGGCGATTCCGTGGAAGGCCCTGGAGAAGAGGAGGAAGGATCCCTTATTGGAATAATTACAGAAACTTTGAAGAGAATAATGTACCAATGGGGGGCCAATATGCAAGAGATTATTTCGACGATAAGAATGAGGGTAGCTGGGATGAGCATCAAATCGGAGTGATATCGATACTACCGGCGGAATATGTTAGTGAATATCAAGAGTACCAAGAACAGAGTGATGCCGATCGAGAAGATGACTTCTATTCAGAAAACATAAGGCCAAAGGTAACATGGGTTACACAAACATCATGTGAAGTACCTCATAGAGATGCTGTTTTTATTGATCCTCCATCCGAGGAAATGAGGTTCCACCTGAAGCCCCTATTACTGAATATCGAGATTCAAGGACAAATGGTGAATAGAGTCCTTGTCGACGGTGGTGCAGCAGTAAACATATTGCCAATCACTATGTTAAAAAGGTTTGGCATTAAACTGAAAGATTTAGTCAGACACAATATCATGATTTCCGATTTCAGTGGAAAAACATCAAGCTCAGAAGACATGATTGCCTTAGACGTAAAAGTGAGAACTTATTCGAGGCCTACTGTGTTTGTTGTTGTCCAGTCACATGCAAATTTCAATGCACTACTTGGAAGAGAGTGGATTCATGGAGTAGGGGTCGTTCCATCTACGGCTCATCAGAAATTATTCATGTGGAATCGAGATGGACATCTCGAAGTAATCCCAGGGGATCAGCACGAATTTGTAACGTTCGTCTCTCAGGCTGGTCGGGCACTACAGAATCTGGCACTGGCTCAGCCATTCACCTTCGAAACGGTCGAAGATTTTAATTCAAAGTTACATGAGGAGCGATTCTTAGAAATGAATGAGAAGAAAGGATTTGTTATGATCAAAGAGGGGGCTAACCTCGAAGTGGCCGATGAAGATGAATAGAGATTACGAAGGGTTCTTGGCTCGATTGAGACAATATGAAGATGAAAAGAAGAGCCAAGAAAGTAGTAGTAGTAGTAAGGTAGGACCAAATAAATCGATTCATTCGACTTTAGTTGCAA